AGACACACCACCAACTGCACCTAAAAACTAAATCTACGAAAATATTAACAAAAAGCTTGAAAGAATAGTTATTATTGTATTTTCCTTATTGTACAACACATGGTTCCTATTCACTGACATGATTAATGTCTGTCTCAGATAGATATTTTTATCTACGATCTGTCCATCAAAATATTGTCCCAGAAAAATTAAACAACAGCTTAAATGACAAAAAGAGATTTTGTGCGGTTCAACAAAAGGATTCTGGCAAGGTCAAAACCCCGAACATCCAATGGAGTTGTCATCTCTAGCCCACATAAGACCTCAACATTGCACCTGATTTTAATTTTAAAAGAGAAAGGGGAGAAAAGAAGAGATTGAAAAGAGTCTTTGTAGTCTTTGACCTTCGTGGCCTTTCCACCAACATGTCAATTATTCAACTATAGTTGAATAAAATTATATTCTGGGATAAAAGATGAATTGAAGAAGGGGGGAAAGAATAAGAATGAGAATTAAGAAAAAAAATCAATAAACAATATTCGCTTTCATACTGGCCACACTTTACATCTTAAGTGCACTTCATTAAAAGTGAGATTAGTTAATTGACAGTTTGTATAAAAATTATTATTCCTAACCTTGTATATAATGGTTTATATAAACACTGTTGCTGTCGTGTGCTTGTGTGTTGAAGTGTAAGAAAATGTCTCAACATGGGGGGTGTGTGTGTGTGTGTGTGTGTGTGTGTGTGAACATGGTGGTCTCTCCTCTTATCTGTCCTTCACCCGCACACACTTTCTCTACACCACACTTCTGAAGATTGTTTCTCAAATACACACACTTACACATGTCAAGTTGGGTTAAGTATGTAGGTCTTTAACAGCAGGATTGTGTCCGTCCATCATGTATGCGTCACAAATTGAAAGAATGACGCTTCCTTTTATATTCAAAGAATGCTGAGTGAAAACGTCTCAGGTTACTTATGTAACCATGGTTCCCTGAGTACGGAACGAGACACTGCGTCCTCTAGGGGTCGCTATGGGGAACGCCTCGTCGTGACCCGTGTCTGAGGCATACATTTCAATCTGACCCGTATAAATTTCTTGGTTTTGTTTATGTAACCTATTGTAGTCAGGTTAATTCACACAAAATGAATAACATTTTTGACTTGAATAAAGACAGCGCATTTAGAGATTTCCACATCATTTGTAGAAGATGATAGATAGATAGATAGATAGATAGATGTATTTGTATGTGGTATGTGTGTTTGTGAGTGTGGCATTGGGCATTGCCATCGGCCCTGAGCTCTGTGCTGCAATGACGTAAAAATGCTTCACCCCGAGACCCTCGAAACCTTGAGCATGTTACACAGATTATTTTAAACGCTCTTATTCACGTACAAAAAAAAAACAGCAAGCCATATAACTAACTCTGACTGGGGGCCTTATTAAAACAGCCACGTGTGCCTGTGTGTGTATCAGGAGTGTTTAGTGTGTGAAGGTCTCTGTGTGTTTTAGTTCCTTATCTGAGTCATCAGGAGTATTTTGAACGTTCAGCTCAGATAAAATGACTCATGTCAGAGTGAACCTGTGAGACTGCATATGTGTGTTTAACACAGATGACAAAAATTAGTTATTTATGAAAGAGCGATGTTTAGTATTAGCTAATCAGCTGTTCTGGTTCCCTGTTCAGTAGACTAAAACAATAAGCCATAAGAGGCCATGTGTTACAGTGATTTTTACTGTGGTTAATTAAAAGCTTTATATGTAGTAAAAATCACTGTAACTCACAGACAGAATAATCTATTGCCACAAAATTAATGTATCGCAATATCATGTTCATTAATGTTCAATAAATAGTTTTGTTGTTGTTAATAATTAGAGGAAGAATTATTTATTCGGATAAGATAGCTATATAGCTGTTGGCCAACTGTAGGAATAAATTTTATTTTTGTGGCAGTCAGCAACATCATTTTTGCCACCAAAACTGTTCCTTCTCTATCTATGCATGTAGCAGAATCACATAATAAAAAATTAGATTTGAAATAAGTTGCAGGAAATGAACAATGGCTGTTGCATGCGCAAATATGGAATGCCGCGCGTAATTAAGTGCTGCTTTTTAGCTTGATAAGGACACAACATAACGAGTCCACGTAAAGGGATCAACCAGTTAATATGAGCATTTTCATTTACACATACAAATTTGCCCGATGTAAGCACGTATGTCCTTTGAAAATGTCAAACGAATTTTAGTTAGCTACTGATCTGTTGAGCTATGAGGGATATTTAAACATATTTACAAATAATAGGCTATACTTCAGCATAATAGGCCTACTTAATGTATTATAATGTTTAATGTAAACAGTGCAAAATTACAGGGACTCTATCAATTTCGTATATTTTTAAGATATGGAACTTCATGTAGGCTAGTTGGTAAAAGCGAGTTTTTACAGAGAGAATCAGTCACCAAAATCTCCTATGAGATGATATAGGAAATAAGTTAAATTCAGAATGGAGTAAGAGAAATAGGAAGTTAAGTTACAAGAATGGAGTGAGAGAAATAGGAAGAGAAGGAGAGTTGTGCTAAAAACAATCACAATTTTTGCACTCCCACAGGAAGGGGCGGAGCCTGACACCGGAAACAGGATCTACACTTAGAACTCACATAGAACTCTATTATACAGTATGATGATTCAGGATATCTGACGCTCTACGTTTGCTAAATATGTTGTATTGTCCGGTTTAGCCAAACTACTCAATCATAACAGACTGTGATGGAGAAAAGGAGAGCGACAGAGGAAAGAAAACTGAATGAAAAGTGAACAAGGTCATGGGCATCTAAATTAGTTCAAGTGGACACTCAAAAATCTGCTTACAAGTCAAAAAGAGACAAAAACAGGCTTGTATATTCAGCACGTAAAGGCAAATCTGCAAGTTTTGACATCTGAGATTTACACAATTTATATTAATAAACGTTTTTCTCTCAATGGACAGTCTTCCTGTAATTTTTCTTAGGCTTCATTCTCAATTCATGAAGATAATATAAGGGGTAAGATAAATCAGACCCATATCTAGTTCTAAGGAAATCCGTGGTATCAGAGAGCAAAGTTACTTCATCCATTTTAATTGACTGGGTCTCCATGCATCAGGGTATTTAGCCACATAAATATTTATCTACTATTCCCTTTCTATATGCAAATATAACTTCATTTCTGTGATGATGCTAATAGAGTGCAATTGCCTGCCCACAATTTCAGCGGCCTTGGCTCTGGAAGTATTTTTTTGCCAGTTATAAGCCATAAACCAAACCAACCAGCTATGAGGTGAATCACAAATATAGTTTTAAAGAATTATTTTTGGTGTTTTGACTTTTATTATGATACCCCAATAACGCAATGCCCGTAACGCAATGGCGTTATATATTGGCGCACTTGTCTTTTAAAAAAATAAGAGGCACAGTGAGTGGCTTTAATGTGTGGAAGAACTACTGTCCCATGAAGCATTGTGATGGATATAGCAGTGGATATATATATATATATATATATATATATATGCATATAATATATCCACACAAATTTTAAATAGTTTATATCATTCACAGTGCTTCATGGAAGTGGTAGTTCTAGACTTCTTTTGGTGCAAAATGATGTTGTTTTTACCATGAATTCCATGATTAAACATGATTATTTAAAAAATAAGTAGAAAAAATACAGGCTGACGTCTTCAACAAAGCATGTACAACTGTCTAACAACCTCATAGCTCACAGTATAGGCTTGTCTTCAAAGGTTTGCAAATTAACATTGAAAATCAAAAATCAATGCCAATTTTACATCTGGAACAGCAAGTTTTCTGTTGAATAATGATTGTATGTGGCATTAAGCATTTGAATTTTAAATAGTAAATTCATTTTGGGATTTTTCACAAATGTGACACAACAAATGCTGAGTTTGTCTGTTTTGATTGAATTTTACTGACTGTACAAAAATACAGGCTGCGGTTCCTTCCTATATATATCCACTAACACAGTATAGGACATAAGTATACTAGCTAGTTGCAAACCAACAGATGACTTATCAAAGCACTTGATCCTTTACTAATATTAAAATGTTACTGACCAATCCTGTATTAGTATGTTCACAAAGTTGTTGTTGTTGAAAACAACAATGCTGCTGTTTTTTTCAATTGTGATAAGCATTTGCTTTAATGTTATTTGACTGGAGGTGGTATTGGGGGAGGGGCATTCTTGTTTTAGAGACCATTTGATTGGACAAAAATCTGTGTAGTGCAGGATGAGTCATCAATAATTTTGACCTGTTATAATGTGTTGTGTGTATCGATTAGTGAAATGTGTCAACGTTTAGCACATAGATGGCCTTAAACTGAATTCATATTGACTAAAAACAGTCATTAAGCATGCTACTTTAAATCTGCAAGGCCACAGAGCCAGGAAAACACAAGAGCACCATAGAGAAGATCAAACAGAGACACTGATGATAAATCAACACACAGAGACATGTTTATCAGGCCTTCTTTATGAAACGAAAATAAGTACAATGTAATTTTAAATGCTGTAAACATTCAAACGCAGAGAAGAAAAATACCATGCTAATCAGATGAACAATGAATATCAAGAAAGACAAACAGCTGAGCGACACAGTCTTCTTGCCGCCCGGTCTTTATGTCATCAACTATACAGGCACTTCAAGGCCTCAGATGGTAACAAAACCGAGAGAATCATGGCGTGCACAAAGAAAATGATTACCCCCCTTCTTCAGAGCGACCCTCGCATGCTATACGCAAGCGCGCCGCTAAATTTTACCCTCTCATTGTCTGCGCTGCGGCAAAAACAGATATGTAAACTTTCAAAGAAGGAATGGAAGGTTAAAACCACATGAAATTCTTCCAATGTTTAGTAATATTTGGAATGCTCCATCAAACACAACCCTCATCAGGTAAAACAACCTTCCTGAGAAACGGCTCCTCTGGCAACAGCTCAAGAACATGTTCAAAAACAGGAGTAAATATGAACAAAACATTAAAAGGAGGAATAACATTTCCAACAAAACTACAACTACGGCAAAATACAAACACATAAACCCTGTTCGAACATTCACACTTCCTTGAAGACACATGTGAGAGGAAATCACACACACACACACACACACACACACACACACACACACACCTGGGATAAAGAGTGTGCATATTGCATTTCGTTACCCCGGCGACAGACTCAAACGTTACCGGAAGTCTCCATCCTGAAAAACTATTGGTCAACAGCACGTATATTGTGGCACACTCAGCTTTGGTACTCAAACTTGTGAGCTGCGGATGATCATTTTGACTATTTAAATCCCTATAGCTCAAATGTAGCTATCATCTCAATAAGAAACATTATTTTTTGAATGAAATTCAGCACCTTGGCATCTTCACTATTTTATCAGTCATATTTTATCAGTGACATCCTGCAACACAAGGACATTTCATATCATAGCTAGAGGCTGCATAATTCAACAATGGATTGCAGTGTGTTCATATCTGGTTTTTCTTTTCATTTTGATCATTAACACAATGGTCAAAGAGTTTTTTCCTTCAAAAGTCATGCTCCTGAGGTAATCTTTGCAGGCATCTTGAAATCTAATTTGGTAGATCGCTACTTCGAAATCACATACAAATCTGTCAAGAGTTTTACATTCAACTTTGTCATGTAATAAATACATTAGGGGAAAAAAATAAAAACAGCTAGTTGAAGGCGTGGCTTATGTCTTGGAGGTGGAGCTGCTGGTTAGCCAGGGGTTTTGATTGGTTGTGCAGGAGTACAGTACCGCTTTAAACAGAAGAGGGAGCTGCTCCAGTGGAACGGCCATCATCTTACCTGTAACCAATAATGACGTCATTAGCAGAGGTACATTTTGATTGGCTAACTGTCGCATATTCAAACAGCATCATCAAATAGATGAGCAACGAGATTTTAAAAGGAAATAATGCATCTCTATGAAATACTTCACACCAAGTCTGAAATACTGTGCTGCAGTGAACCTAATGTGAGGCTAAAATGTTTTTAGGTTTTCCGCTAAATGCTGGAATCATGCAGTGAACATCTTCATTTGTGTGCCAGTGAGAGTCAAAAAGATTTGGAATAAAATGGGGTTGAGTTGAGTGAACTGTTGCTTTAAAACACACCACTGTTCAAAAATGTGAATGTTTTCGAAAAAAGCCTCTTATGCTGAAAAGGGTATAACTGCAGCCTGGAGATCTCCAAATGGGGGCGGGAACTCCAAAACGGGGTGGGAGCTCCAAAATAGGGCGTGGCTTCCTCCCATTGACAGACAGGCACATGACACGCATGCACATTTTTTCCCCCAATCCACTTCAGTGCAAACTCCACCCCACAAAGATTTTATTGGTTGTGTCAATTAAAGTGTTGATTTCCTACACTATACTACAAAACATGCTAACCCCTAAACCCTACCTCACACCTGACCCTAACCTTAACCAGTTAAATTGACTGCACGGTGGGATTGGCGCTCAATAGCGTGGTAAACAAAGATACAGTTCAGGAGATAAACAGTTAATAAGATTATGCAATATGAATCGTTCCGTAACTCCCCAACCGGACCTCACCGGACAATGGCACCTTTTTAGTTGCACCCAGCATCAATACCCCCTCCTACCCTGAGAATTTCGAGCCCCGGGACACCCCCGTTGCTTAAAACAAAGCAATAGAGTAAAATCTTTCCCCTGCGCTGTGCCGGGACGGCTCACGGGAGAGCTCGTGGGTGATTCCTGTTAATATCATTAAGCAGAGGTTCAAACTCCAGTCCAAACACCACTGGCCACGAGCTTTGGGCTCTGCTCTCACGGAAAATATTTATTTATATAACATATTTTACTTTAGATCAACTAGAAACGATGTTTAACTTATAAAGTTTTATTTTGAAATGTAAGTCAATAACAATTGGCTGAAGCCAGAGCCAATGGTGAAAGTCTTTGAGCGAGGAGACCCCGCCCCATTTTGGAGGTTCTGCCCACTTTTGGAGTTCACGCCCCATTTTGGAGATCTCCGGTCTGCAGTTATACCTACTTGCTTATGCTCACCAACGCTGCATTTATTGGAGTAGAAATACAGTAAAAACAGTAATACTGTGGAATATTATTGCAGTTTAAAGTAACAGTTTTCTATTTGAATATATTTCAAATATGCGATTTCAATTTTTCCTTTCTCTTTGGAGTGTTACAAGCTCTCGGTGCATAAAGATCTGTAAAGTTGCAAAGACTAAAGTCTCAAATCCAAAGAGATATTCTTTATAAAAGTTAA